CACGGCGCCGTGCCCCAAACGGCAGCTTGGCGGGGGGGGAAAGGGGGGGCTGTCATATTTTCCAGCACACCGGCTATTTTTAACTGCTCCCGCTCTCCAAAGGCCTGTGAAGATATTTGGGAGCTGGCAGAGCTGCTCCGGCCGTGTGAATGGGCTCCAGCTCCGCGCTGGACGCAGGAACAGTCCTTCACCCCGACCTCCTCCTCCTCCTCCTCGCTGCCGGCCGGCCCTGCCTTTGGGGGGGATGAGGGCAGGACCGAGAGGGTCCGCGCCCCCCAGCTCGCCCCCCGCCTGGCTGCCGGCCAGCCCTCCCCACGCTCGCCCCTGCTTTCCTCTTCGGCAGCCCAAATCCCCGACGTCCCCGACGTCACGCTCCCGACGTGGGAAAGGGCCGATCCCTGCCTGGGAGTGGAGGCGGGGAACAGCCCCGGTCCCCGGGGGCCGCTCGGCCTCCCGCCGCCCCCCATCGCTCCCCGCCAGCTCTCCCGTGCGGCTGCCGCTGCTGCCCGACGGAAGAGGCCGGCATCACGCGAGCATTGGGCCGAGTATAAAGAGAAAGGAAGGTGGTCACGGCCAGGAAGCAAGATGAGCAACCCATCCAGATAAAACCACGGTTTGGGCTCCCGGCGCCGTCCCTCAGCACAGAGGGGGCCCCCAAAAGAGCTGATCAAGGCTTCAGGGTGCCCACGAGCAGGGGGAGAGGGGCTGGGACCCCCGCTCGCTCTGCCACCGCCTCTCCTCCCGGCTTCCACGCCAGCCGCCTCGGGGGCACCACGCTCCCAAGCCTCCCCCTCCCAGCCCAGCCTCCAAATCCGCTTTCTTTTCCCTCAAAGGGACCCAAACGCGAGCAGCACCCCGAGCCCTGGCCCCGGGGGAGCCAGCCCTGCACCCCAAGCAGCGCTGCTCAGCACCGCGCACGGCCAGGACGGGCCCTCGGGGTGGCACGGCGGGGGCTCGCCCCGCTCCCCGCACCGAGCCCGGTAACGTGCCGGGGAAGCCAGCTGCTCCAGATTAGCGACCGCAGCTCCCCTGGGGGCCCAGCCCCCCCAGAGCCCCGCGGGCCGGGGATTTCCAACCCCAAAACCACCTCGTGAACGGACGAGAGAGGACAATTCCTAACTTGGGGCTCCTGGGGCTTCCCGGCCTCGTCCCATCCCGGCACCAGCCGCCGGCGACTGGGTTTCAGCGGGGCCGGCTTTGTCGCACACGGCACGGCACAAGCGGGCGGCAGCGAGAGCAGATCTCTCATCCCCTCCGCACCATCTGAAGAGAATTTTATTTTCGGTGCAAGGGCCGATTTCCAGACGAGGCAGGGCGTGCTGGGGGAGCGCTCCCCCGGCCCCGCTGGCGGCGCGACGCCGTTCCCCGCGGCTCAGGCACGAAGCGCGAGGGTTTTCACGGCTGGGGGCAGAGCAAGGGGGGGGTCAGGCAGCAACTCGCCCGCCAGGAGAAGAAAACTCCTTGTTGGGAGCATTCCCTTTGTTCCAAGCCCTGGCTTGGATGTGAACCCTCAGCTCCCAGAAGCCACAGCCTCTCCCCAACGGCCGCCGCCCGCCAGGAGAAGAAAACTCCTTGTTGGGAGCATTCCCTTTGTTCCAAGCCCTGGCTTGGATGTGAACCCTCAGCTCCCAGAAGCCACAGCCTCTCCCCAACCTCCCAAAACCCCCCAGCCCCCCCCCACCGGCCGCCGCGCCCGAGACAGGGGGAGCGTGGCGGGGGGCCGCGGGGCTGAGCTCCCCATCCCGCCCAAGGGCGGCGGAGCCCGGGGGCAACACCGGGACGTCTTCGTCCCGCTCCCGCAGCCAGGGCAGGATCCAGGAGCCTCGCCAAGGCTTTCGCGGGGTCAGGAGCGCGGGGGAGCGGGGAAGCGCCTCCCTGGGCGTAGAAGCAGCTGGAGCCAGGGAGCGGCGAGGGCCGGGACCGGAGCGAAGGCAGGGCGAGGATGGGACCCACTGCTCGCTTCCACGCGGACGGAGGGAGGGAAATGCTCCCGAGAGCTCCCCCGGCGCGGCCAAACCACCTCGCCAGCACCGGGGACTCTGTGAAGGGCCGAATTGAACCCAGGCTCCCCCCACGGAGCGTCCTCCGCAGAGCCACGCACCAGTGCAGCTCCTGCGCCCGCAGCCCGGGCCCGTCGTGCCTGGCAGGGCAGAGCAAGCGCGTTTCGCTGCCATTCCAGGCGGCGTCAGCCAGGGAAGCCGAGGCGCATCCCCGGCGCGTGCCGAGAGCGGGAGCCAGCGCCTGGGAGAGGTGCAAACTCCCGCAGGCGCCTGCAGGAGGGTCAGCCGTCACCAAAAGGTCCCCAGCCGGGCAGCGATCTTCATTCCTGTGGAAGGAAGGGCAGGAACCGGCTCGGCGCGGTTCCGGGAGCGGTGCCTTGCGCCGGGGCTCCCGCGGGCGGGAGAGCTGCCGGCAGTTACCCTGCGGACACCAAACCCCTCCGATACACCCAAAGCTTTCGCCGGGAGCAGCTGACCCCGGCACACGCCAGGCCCGGGCGCAGGGAGGAGCGGAGCGGCCCCGCCACACGCAGCCCCCGAGCACGCTCTGCCCGGCAGCACCCCCGTTAGCCCAGCACGCTCGGCAGCTACCGAGTGACACAGCAAAACAAATTCCTCTGCCCTTCCCAAGGCTGCAGGGGCTCCTGCAGGCAAGAACTTGTTTGTGTAACTGGAGCAGGCCAGCATCGGACAGGCGGGTGGGGAGCAAGCTGGGGTTATTTTTACCCAATCGCTGGTTTATCTTTGGCCACATTTTATGCTCGAGTTCCTGTAGCTGCAGCCAGAGCTCCGCCAGGTCACCAGCTCAGAGCACGAAGGCAAGGGGACAGCGAAGGAAAAAGGTGCTGAATCCACGGGGAGAATCCACATCCACGCACATCCTGCTCCCGACAGGGCCAGGAGCGGGCAGCCCCTGCCGGGAGCGCCCTGAAGGGAACTGGGGAAGAAACAGGCCGCACCGCGGCTGCGAGGAGGCACAACGTCGTCGTGCTGCCTGCACCCCGAGCCCGCCGGAGCGCCCCGAGCCCTGCCTACCCCTTGCCCGCACCGACCCGCAGAACCACAGCCCCCTCCCTGCAGTCCCAGCCTTTTCTTTTCGCCTTCCTGATACTCCCTTCCCCTGCCCAACCCGAGGGATGAGGAGACCTTCCTCCTCCTCCTCCTCCTCACTCTGCTCGGCTGCGGCACCCGGCCAAGGGACCAGCCTCATCCCAGGTCTCGGGCTGATTAAGCCCGGTGAGATCAGACGCATCCCGGCATTTCTGCCAGCTCACCCTTCCGGCACTCTGCAGGCCAATTTAATTTTCCTAGCGCACTTTGCTGGCAGCGGCCGCATCCCGGGCGCCCGGCCGTGGCACGGGGACAGCCCCGGCGGCCGTACCTGACATTGGGATGCCCTGCCAAGGATGACTCTGGATTATTTGAGATTTAGCCCCGGTCTCGGTTCTGCCGCAGCCGAGAAGCAGGCGAGAGCTCAGGAATTCCCAAGCAGCGCAGGCTGCCCCACCTGGGAAGTAAAAGCGGGCTTAACAGAGCCGCGCTCGGCTCCTCCGGGCATCCCCGGCCTCTCCCTCGCCAGCGGGGAGCAGAGCACTGCCCCGCTCATCGCGGATCTCGGGGAGGAGGAGGGACGGCTCGCCTGTCCCCCAGCACCCCGAGGACGGGGCGCGGACCCCGGCACCTTGCGCTGCAGCCGAGCCCGGGCTCTCGGTTGCTCACAGGGCGCAGGCCAGGCCCCCCCAGCCGCACGGCTGGTACTGGGACCAGCAGCCAGCACAGCTGGGACCAGCAGAGCCAGGGGAGCCTGACGCCCTGGGCAGCGCATGAGGCAGCCACGTACCTGCCGTGCCACAGAGTCCCAGGCCCCTATAGCACCCATACGTCCCGCAGCACAAACCCCGCACCCCCAGCCGGGCCCCTATAGGACCCACAGCTGCCAGCCAGGCTGCCAGACCCCCCCAGACCCCCAGCCAGGCTCCTACAGCCCCCCCAGCTCCACGCTCCCTCAGACAGCTCTCTATAGCCCTGACGTGCCCCTGTCACCCTCGCAGGCCACACCCAGACCCCTATAGACCCTGTGGACCCCTATGGCCCCCTCATGCCATCAGCCAGGCCCCTGTACCCGCCTCAGGCACCTATAGCCCCCACACAGGCCCCCATAGCCCCCTCGGACTACCAGCTGGGCTCCTCTAGCCCTCACCCAGGCCCCTATAGCCCTCACCCAGGCCCCTATAGCCCCCTGATGCCATCAGGCAGGCCCCTGTATCCCCCTCAGGCACCTGTAGGCCCCACACAGGCC